CACATCCCTCTTCCACATTGTTACAATCCCCCCAGAAGCACCCCACGATGGAGCCGCCACCCAGCTAATCCCCCTGGCTTTCCATACACTCCTTGCCCACTTGTCATTAAACTCCATTCTCTTAGACTCTTGCAACAGCACAATGGAGGAATAAGAAACAATCTGTAATTGCTAGATCCTCTACTGAAGCAGAATATAGGGCAATGGCACATGGTGTATTAGAATTACTATGGCTGCGATCACTTTTAGAAGAATTGGGGTTTAACTATGAGAAGCCAATGATGCTCTACTGTGACAACTAGGTAGCTATCAATATTGCACATAATCTTGTTCAACATGACAGAACTAAGCACATTGAGGTTGATAGACATTTTATACAGGAAAGATTTTCCTCAAGAGAAGTTTGCTTGCCATTTATCACCTCAGAAGAACAGTTGGCTGATGTTTTGACCAAGGGAGTTCCAAGAGGGAAGCTGACGCACTATATAAGCACACTGGGCATGATTGACATCTATGCTCAGCTTTAGGGGGAGTGTAGAGATACTGGGCCGAATGGGCCCTAGTATCTTTTCTTGTAGTGTGTTATTTTTTTATTTGTTTGTTAATGGGCCTATCTTTATGGGCCTGTTATTTCTTTTTGTAAGTCTTCTTTATGTTACTGCCTAGCTGGCCACCCACTTAAGGGCATACTTGTAATTAGCCTAAAGAATGAAGTTTAACAAAAGGATTAGAAAAGGGAGAGAAGAGATAATTCGAACTCTTCTTCTTCTTCCTCTTCTTTTCTCCATTTTCTTTCTTTGTGCTACTGTTCTCTACTTTTCTTCTTCTTTTCTCTCTAATTTTAACCAAGTTTATATCAATTTTAGAGGACTGATTCACATCTGTGTTGTGTAAACAAGCAAGTAAGAATCTCAAAATTTGGTTGTCCCATATGTTGAAGCATTAGCACACAAAATGTTAGGTAAAAATGTTCCTTGCTCTAACTCTGTTATGTGAAAATGTTTCAAAACTCCACAGAAAATGCTCCTTGCTCTTGTATATTAATATGATTATTCCTCTCTTGTGAGTTATGAATTGAGATGCAAAATTCTTTAGGTTAAAAGCTTACCAAAACAGTTTTTCCATTTATAGAACATTGCACACCTCTCCCGGGCAAAGCAGAAAAATCCATGACATCAAGAAGCCATCCAGAGAATGTAGACTCTGTTTTGTGGTTCTGAGCATCCTTGACAGCAGATGGATCATTGAAGAAATGGAAATGTTGGGCATAGTCCACCAATGCTCTGGCCAATGGGTGTTCACTGCTGGCCTATACATGAATAATATGGCATAATTGAATATTTACAGTATAATTTATCATGACCATTTGTAGAAACACTTGAAATCAAAATAACAATCTCAAAACTAGTCATAAAAACTGAACTCACCTCTGCAGAAGCAACCAAGGTGAGGAAGTCTCCACGCTCCATTCCATTGAAAGTTTTCACTGCGGTAACTGTAGGTTTTCCCTGAGTAAGAGTACCTGTTTTGTCAAACAGCAAGTATTTAACCTTCTGGGCCCTTTCCAATGCATCCCCTCCTTTTATAAGGACACCATTGTTGGCCCCAACCCCTGTAGCGACCATAATAGCAGTTGGTGTTGCCAAGCCAAGAGCACAAGGGCAAGCAATCACCACAACTGATATAGAGAACATAAGAGCAAAAACAAAAGAGTTGCTGTTTTCAGGTCGCCATTCTTCTGGGTATGCTCCAAGTTCTCCACTGACATACCTGTTCATGAACATGAAAGGTATAATTAACATTCAAACCATGCATCTTTAAACTACCTCAAAACAGGTGACAATATGCTTACCAACCCAGAAATGTTATCAATGCCATGCAAACAACTGTTGGCACAAAAATGCTTGCAACCTGAAAAATGATAAACAATTATTACAGGGAGGGATTTATGGTTATCATCTAATCAGAATAGAAACAGTTAAAACGAACTAGATCATTGTGATCATTGATTCGTCCAATCAGAACAGAATTCATGTAAAGCTAGCCCCAAATAGTTGGATGAGTTGAGTTGAGAATTGATATAATTCTGCTCCTCCACTTATCAAGTAAGCAGAAAATTTTCAAGGCCATAGGCTTCTCAATCAAATCGGATTACCATATCTTACAGTCAAGAATTAATTTCTACTGTTCTTAAATCCCTATGTGCAGTTGGACAATTTCCATCCAGCTCTCATTATCAAATACTTCTCTTAGATATATTTGTCTTACTTGAGCTTATTCTACCAGATAACTTGCAGCTGTCAATGCTAATGTTAAAAAACCAGCTAACTTACTCATACAAAATGCAGAAAGAAAACATAAGCCCCAGCAGAAGTCAGTCAAATAAACTATGATGAGTATCCATAACTGCCTTCTTTTCCTTTTATTCCTTTCTCTTTATTTTCTTTGGTGTGTTTGTGGGAGGCTGTTTGGTTGGGGCGTGGGGAGGGGAGTCTAGTCAAGTATTGGAAAGAGTACTTTAAAATTAAGAGCAGTTGAGTTGATCCAAGTAAAATCCTGTAGGTCAAGCTTTAATTTCAGTTTTGGGGCTTCTATGTAAATTGAATGTGGAATTTGGGGATGACACTTTTATCATCAAATTGTATTAACTGTCTAATTTTAATTAAGTTAATGAGTTTACTTTCTGCTGATAAAAAAAAAAAAAAAAAAAAAGCTTTTAACTTCAGCTCATCATATTGGTTCCATATTAGAGCTATTAGAGCAAACTTTTCTGGATATGTTGTGCAAGAAAACCTCTCTTTCAGCCAGGTGGAGGGATGATTTCACCATTACATAATATTCATCAGATATGAGAACCTATAGATCAGCTGATCAGGCATGTGCTAAGCATCCTAGTCTACAGCACTGAATAATATGATCCTTTGCTACCATTAAGTTATGCTTGTAATAATATAATCCTTTGCCACAGAATTCATACTTTCATAGAATACTTGGGCTTTGATAAGACTTTGCTGAAAAGTACAGATACTTACAAAATCAGCAAACTTCTGAATAGGAGCTTTAGACATTTGTGCTGTCTCAACGAGAGAAATTATCTGGCTCAAAACAGTATTAGACCCCACTTTTGTGGCTTGTATGTGAAGAACACCATGAAAATTCATGGTACCTCCTATAACCAGAGAATTAACCTCCTTCGAAATTGGTTCAGATTCACCAGTTACCATACTTTCGTCAACATAACTTGAACCCCATGTAACAACACCATCAGCAGGAATCTTTGAACCAGGAAGAACTTTTAATGTATCACCTGGATGAATTAGTAAAGAATCTATCACCCTTTCCTCAACAAACTTTCCTCCTGGAACAAAATGATGAATAAACCTAACCATTAGTGGAATTCATTGTGAAAATGATCAAATGGAAAACATTGGCAGTCCACAATCCAAACAAACTAAGCATCATTTCATATATAGTGGAAAGTTACCTGCATCTTTGACAAGCAACAGAGCTTTTGCAGGTGCAAGCTCTACTAGCTTCTTGATTGCATCTGATGTCTTCCCTTTCGCAAGAATTTCCAAGTACTTTCCCAATAGCACAAATGTAATTAGCATGGCACTTGTCTCAAAATATATAGGAGACCAGAACCCAGTAAAGGCACCATATAGAAGTGCATAGACAGAATAAAAGTAGGAAGCTGAAGTTCCTAATGCAACCAAAACATCCATGTTTGTTGACCTATTCCGCAGTGCTCTACCAGCTGCTACATAGAATCGCTTACCAATAACAAATTGAATAATACTCACCAATGCCCATTTCAACCAATCACTCATAAGGAAGGGTCCACATCGCATAAGCAATAAAGAGTACATGAAGGGTATGTGTGGACAAACTACCCCTATAAGGAAAAGAGGGAACTGCAGCCAAGATAATGAATATTACAACCTACCTTAAAACAAATAATAAAAGGGAAAGATGAAAAAAGAGCGATATAATATGAAATTCAAAAGTATATGCCAGCAATGTAAAGTGAAAAGCCCAAAAGGGACATGCAATGTGCAAAATTGTCACTCATGAGAAGCAAAACTGCATGCAAGGTAGATATATTTCCATACAATGCAAGATTATACTCACACTGAGAATCAGACTAGAGGTGAAAAGCCATAACATGTTTGAGGATTCGTCTATACCATTCGAAGATCTTGCTGTGTATGGATTCTGGACATTTATTTTAAATTTACCATTGCTTCCTTTCTCAATCGCATCAACTATGGATCTTGAACTTATGACTTCAGGATCAAAGAGAACTTCTATTTGTGGAAGAGTCTTGTCAAATTCAAATTGCCTAACCCCTTTCAAGTTCCTGAGTATATCATTTAAAATATTTGCATCCATCTCATTGGACAACCCAATCACCCCTAATAAGATCTTATCCTGTGCATTGCTCTGCACAAGTGCACCTTCAAAACCGGCATCTTCAATTGCATTAACTATTTCATCCTTGCTTATGACATTAGGATCATACTCAACTTCACCTAATGAAGTAGCCAAGGCAACAACTGCTCGTTTGACACCAGGAAGGTTTCTCAAAATACCTTCAACAGAATTTACACATGCTGCACATGTCATACCTCCGATCCTGAACTGTCCCACCAGAGTTTTCTGTGATTTTATTTGGGATATATTGGAATCCAGCAGGATCTCAGCCTCAAAACCAGCATCTTCAATGGCATTCTTGATGTCTTCATCCTGCAATGGACATATAAAGTTGCAATATGTTATGGTGGAACTGAACGAAACTCTAAACCATGCATAAGTTTGAAAGACTTAGATCATTATGGAAAAAAGTAGTTAAAGCTTCCAATCAAAAAACAAAAAGAAAAATAAAAAATAAAAAGCAGCTAAAGATAGTCCACATAAGGCCCCAGCCCAAAATGAAATGGGGTAAAAAGTGGGGGCACAATACGACTTCACTGGTTCTCCCAAGGTTATCAGTCCATTAGAACTTGTTTAACCACCTCCCCTAGAGAAATACCTTAAAACCCAAAAGAAAATGAAACATAAATGTAAAGATTTTCAATAAGGACCAGTAACCAAAGATCAACAGCTGCCAGCTAATGATAATAGACAAAGAATCTCAACCTAAATATGCATACTTCTTCCAAAAAAGTCTGTCATTGTCCAACACACTTTATATCTCTTGGAAGCAAAAGAGACAGGATTTGAGTAATCCAAGGGAGAAAATGCCACTTTATTTGAAGCATGTTGAATAACTAACAGTTGGCACCTCAAATTTTAAGAAAAGCTCGGCCGTTTGGATAAAATAGCCTGGGCTGTTTTGAAGCTTCATGTGCATGACACGTTAACATGTATGTGGGGCAAAAGAATAAGTGTAATTAATGTTCTTCTAATTAGAAAGACAAATAAGGGGCTGAGTGGGTAACGTGTCATGTGCAGGAAGCCCACTAACAGCCTAGGCCGTTTTTTTTTCCAAACAGCCAAGCCTTTTCCCTCAAGTTTCTAGCAATTAATGAATTATAAATTGTAAACTAATTGGCAGAGATGTAAAAAATGCAGTAAAAGTTGTACCAACGATAGGTAGAATAGAGTGTTGGCATATCTGACTTGTGCCATACAGGATTTTTATTTCTTTTTTCATATATTGTTTACTCTTACAATAATATTGCTGAAATTATCTACACCATGAAACAAGAGTTGAAAATAATACCTAATGGCAGACATTCTCCTCAAACCAAATGGAGCCTAGAGGCCAACATATAGCCTTACCATCATGACCAGAATGCAATTGCTTATACATATTTCTGAACCTGACCAACTAATTCGGTTTAATGAGAGTTTCAATTGCATTTGCTTCTAACTCTTATTTTTTATTGGAAACTGTGACTTTCATTCAAAGGTTAAAATTAAAATGTACAACTGTCACACACCCAGAATAAGGTGTTGACCCCTCAATTAAGATCACTATCATAAAGCAGCCCAATACAGTCCTTACCTTGTAATCCCTTGTTTGGCTAGAGTATCAGCCAGTACATTTGATGATCTTCTAACCCACGTGAAAATTGCCCCAATCTCCCTTGTTAGACACATGATTTCCCTCACAATCTGTCTATGGGTCCAGATTCCTAGGCTCTTTGCCTGCATCCAACCTGTTACCAAATTAAAACCGCTTTCCACCTCAATCTGTTGGAGGCCTAGCTATTTGGCCAATCTCAAGCCTTGGAGGTGGGTCATTACTTCATCTCTTAGTGAATCTCTCACTCCTATTGGTCCTGAATATAAGGCCAGAACTCTTCATTCTCCATCTCTTATTCCCCCTGAAATGAATGGACCCAGGTTCCCTAAAGAGCTTTGTCAAAGTTTAGCTTCACTCTTTGTTGTGCTGAAGGGGCCCTACTTTCCTGAATTACAGGTTTTGAAGTCGAAGAAGTGGAAGAGAAAGCCACTGCACTCCAACCCTGATTTCCAGAAGATCAAGTTATCTTCTCATGTTACAGACTTTGAAGGGGCCCAACTTGCCTCAAATTTATCATCTCATGTTACCTTGATTTTCAGCAGATAAAGGATGGAAATGCCAGAAGTCTAGGTGATTTTCAGTCATTTAATTCCAAACAGTATAGCTTGTATGGTTTGTTTTTTCCCATATTGCCAAAATCACAGCATTATGCTTGGTACGAATAATTAAGTTGCTCAAGTTTGATATTCAACCATTTCTTGTTATCAAGCTTGAACACATTAGAACCTCTAAATAAAGGACAGGTTAAAGCTAGTCCCAAGACAGAAAGCTTATGCAACACCGATTTGAAGAAAAAAATATTGCACTCATTTCTCTACTTTGCCTATTTTGTAGCTTTTTAATTTCTAGTGTCAAGACGTTCATCCTGCAAGCATGAGGGAGTTCCAATACGAAAAAGCAGGAGAAGAAAATTTAGAGAACACAAACAAATAACAATCAGAAAGACAGACATAGAGGGTTCACCACTAGATTAAACAAAATTCTAGAAGCCAAAATGAACCCAAATTCTTAATTCCATTTCAAAGTTATAATTGCCCAAAATTCAACCCGTGTGCTTCATTCCTGTTGTAGGCTTTGTTTGTTAAGAAAGCTATGCTCCACCGCTACTTCTACTCGTTTGATTATATCTCTTTCTTTCCAACCTAAAGACCATGACCTTCAGATAAGTCTACCAGAAAATGCAGCAGTCACCGGGAGTTACAGTGGAATTCTTGGCATAGCACTTAACACTAATTGGAGATGACTACTGCCAGAGCACCATTGATCCTTTTATTGTGATGAAAAGACAATAATCTGAAGAACATTTCAATAATTAGAACAACCTATAACACCATTCCCCAGCAAACTTGAGTGAGAAGAAAAGGAAGAACGTAAAGAAAACAACTCGTAATTTACCAGCAATTCAGGTTCCAAGCACAATTAGAAGAAGAAAAGTCATCCATACATAGTCAATCACCAACAACTCTGGTTCGATAGAAAAAAAATAGTAATAATAGAACCGAAACTAATCGTAGAGCAAAACTAGCCATCAGGTCGCCAACATTAATTATAATTGTTTGTTTTCCATTCACGGTACAATAATTTCTGAAAAAAAAAAAAAAAGAAATCTCAAAACATATTGATATGTCATATGATCGCAAGTTAAATAATAACGCAGAAAAGTTGTCAAAATTTAGCACTAACCCATGATCCCAACTCCTATCAACGAAAACTCGAACAAATCCAACTATCAGCTAAAAGAATTTAGTGCTAAGAGAGCTACCAAAAACCAACCTTGACAAAATTCGGATCAAAGACCACATCCGCCTTGTTCTGAAGTAACGCCACCGACGCCCGAACAACACCATGGATTCCGGTGAGAGCCGACTCGACAGAATTCGAACATGCAGCGCAAGTCATACCGGTTACTCTGACCTGAATTCTCTTCATCCCCTCCTCTATAGATTCCATCTTCTCCCTCTCTTCTTCCTCATAAGAATCCAACAACCGGACATCTTCTAGGTCTGGGAAATCGTTGGCAGCAGCTACGGTCTCCGGTCTCCGGTCACCGGAGACCGCTGTGAGCTGAAGGTCTCTGAGACTCGGCGCCATTGAGAGGAACCGAGAATGAGAGACCCAACAACAGAATGCCAAAAACGTAACAAATAATAACGAGAGAGAGAGAGAGAGAGAGAGAGAGAGAGAGGACACTAGGACAGTTTTCCGAGGGAGATGGCGAAGACGGCAATTTGTTTTTTTTAACAAGGAAAGCTGTAGGTGGAGGTGGAGCTGCTAGGAATGGCCGAATTACCGATATAACCTTCATAAATTTTTTTTAGTTCGTTGTTATCCTTGTACTGCGTTTCGTTTGTAGTACACAGCAGACACGTTTTTCTCACGACGAGGAGAACAAAACTGTTTCAGCTCGCTGCTACCGGACCGGGTCCAAGTTAATTGGAACCCCCCCCCCACCCCCAGCAAGTGTGGGTCCCACAAGCAAAGATCCTCAGCCATCCAATGGACACCGCCGGTTCTATGTGATGTAGAGCTACTGAACGTCGGATTGGAATCTAGTGAGTCCAAATCGAAGGTTAGTAAGCAGCATGGCATTTGGTATTTTCCTTGAAATCACTGCTCACCTTTTGACTATTTTAAAATTTGATTTTTTTTTTTAATTTGAAAATTTAAATAGAAAAGGTCGTGGACCTGGACCACCACGTATTTGATATTTCCCTCTATTAAAATACTTATCTCTGACTGATTGACCAATTGAAAGTTAAAAAGGTAAAGCCCACAGATTCAACGGCGGCGATCAAAACCACCGTTTTGAGCTTGGGTCCGCGGACCCTGGAGGTGGAGGGACACGCATAAAACGATCAAGAGATGAAACTTGCCACGTGTCTTCTTGAAACCTTTTATTTAATTGGGTTGATGTGGGACCGACCAATCAATCAAGCCCGATAAAAAATGTGAGTGAGACCATCGCGAAGTTGGGCATCGACCACGTAGCAATTCACGATGGGCCACACGTCACAGTTCCACGGTGGATTTTGACACGATAGGTATGCTTTGGTGGTTCGATTGGAATCTACTTTAATTTTTATTTATTTAACATAACGCTCATCTGACACTAATCCAGCCGTTAAATGAACGGTTCTGATCATGAGTAGTTCTCCGTTTTCCTCGTGAAATACAAACTCAGATTTGTCCGGTAGTGTTGTGTTTTATTATGGGTCCCACCGTATTTGCCAATTGATAGCAATCCTCATTCCTCAATCTCATCTGACGGCTCCTCAGCCATCTCAGGATAAAGCTTGCGTGGAATTCGTATGAGTCCCGTACAGAGCGCGCCAAACACACGCCTCACGATATATCCCAACCGTGCATTGAGAACATCTCCGGCCAATGCACGGTTGGTATGTGTTGGGACCCGATCTGAACTCGCTTGCCTGCCTGTTTTTCCGTCTCTTTTGATAAATAATGAAAATTTTGAGGAGTTGGTTGGGGTTGGGGAGACGTGTAGCATGTTGACGTTGTTGGCACGCACGCAGAATTCAATACCGATCCCAACTTCTCGCAGACACGGCCAGGGTCAAAGCTTGGCGTAAAGGCAAACGTATATGGCAGGTTGCGCTAGAATTCAAACCTTTTACAAACAAAGTTTCTTTTTAGTTGGTTTGATAGATAATAAGAGAAAGTTGAAAGAAAGTTGTTAAAAATATTCACCATATCTGTTTACAATTTTCTCTTATGCTGCGTTTGGAATTGGCTATGTAAAAGTTTACATCAATTCGATTTTGTTAGTATTTGGAATAAGTATAAATAAGTATCAATTCAAAATGTAACGGTCATCTATTATATGATTCAGTATAATACATCATCAGTGTATTTTTACATTTTACATTGATGACGTTTTATACCTGATCTAAATGAAGCCTTAGGCTTCATTTGAAAGGAGTTGTACTCTATATATTTGTATTTGTATTCCTTTCAAATTAAGCCTTAATTTTCTTATTTTCTCTTCTAATTTTCTGTCAAACCAAAGCATAGAAAAAAGAGTCCAAATATGGTTCTCGTAAAATGCACCTTACACTGACCTCACAGCATGTTACAGATGCACATAGGGAATATCTCTCGTACTTGTTTGTTATTATTCATGGGAGATGTTCCCAATCAATGTGAGGAGCATATCCCAATTCTAGAAAAAAGTTAGAAGAGATCCCTACAATGCATGATGTACCGACTGGTGCCAAAATGATACCCGTGTTACATTTAGTTTCTTAATTGAATTGGTTTTGGGCCTTGTGGCCTTGTGGGTAAGCTTAAATATATCTCCACATTGTTTTTCTTATTGTGAGTTTCAAAAATAAATCAAATCCATCTTATTAAAATAAAAAAGGGGTTTTTATTGTTTAGCCCACCTTAGAAATCCTACCTCCATTGTATAGTTTGGGTAGGTGCCAGCTTGGAATTGATGTCAATTCATGGGTGGATATGGGTGTTATAGGTGGAGTTGTTTATAAATTTGAATTGTTGTAGATCTGCAGTTCAAATAAGAATTATGAGGTGGAGTGCAGTCTAAAAATCCCAATAAAAAATAAAGAAAGAAAGAAAATTTGGTTCTCTAAACAAAAACATATAAAAATATTTTCTTGTTTATACATGTGTTTTTTATTTCCAAAAATGGAACTAAAATGTATTCTTGAGTTTTTATAGTTTAAATAATATGTTTTTATTTGGTTATTTAATGCCATGTAGATTCAATAAATCATATATTATATGCACTACAAAATATGTTTTTGTTTTAATAATGATGTTTTAAAACATTAATTGTTTTTCTTTCTTCTTTTTTTTTGAAATAAAACCATTGTTTTATCTTTTCAAAACAAAAACATTTTTTGTTTTTCATTGATGTGATGATTTTGAAAACAAATAAAAATAAAAACATTCATGTTATAGAACATTCCCTAAATGTCATCACATGGATATTTCATGGTCTAAAATTACCTTGTCATAGATAATCAATTGGGGTAACGGGTCAAACAGTTTGATCACCAAATTCAACCTTTTGATTCATCCAAAAGATATAAAAAGGAGGTATAAAGGCAGAAAAATATTTCAATTTATCTTTTGCAATTATTCTGCATCAAAACAAGCTTAAAACAATAAATGATAGAGGGTATAAACAAGGTTGAAAATATAAATACGCCCGATACACTAGTAGAGGCATATTGAACAGTATTGATAGCTTTTTTTATTTTTTTTAGGTTTTTTTTTTTCAAATCCAATTTAAAAGGGTCGATTTAAGGTCCATCGACCCTCTAAACCGATTGACATCCCAAAACAACCCCTGGAGGGATATATTGGAAAGCCCCCAATACGATACGTATCGAAATTTCAAGCATTGGATATAACAGCTATTAGTATATGTAATTAGGATATGCTTAATTGAAAGTCAACATTTCCAAGATCTGAACACCTAAAAAACTGTTGATTATTGTTCATGCCTAGTTCTAATGGTCCACCATCTAGTCTAGTCTAATCTAAGCCTACCAAATTGGTTAATAACGTTTCCTTATTGTGAGTTGGCTACATTGAAGTAAGATGTACTAATGGTTGTACTAATAGTTAGTATATTAAGGTGGTGTTTGATAAAGTTGAAGTAAAAAAAAAAAAACTCTTTTTATAAATTTGATATCTGAATCATTATGAATCATTTGAAGCATGTCAATTCCTGTTCCATGCAAAGAGCACCTCTTACCAAAATTAGACCTAATATCACCTTTCAAGAGGTATGGTTTAGATCAATGTTCTAAAACCGCCCTAGATGCCAAACCGTTTTTGCTTTTGGCTTTGCGAGTCACCAGTTTGGTCATTTGGGTCGAATGAATTAAATTGTGCCTATATATATGTGTGTGTAGGGGGTGTATAAGTACATATTTTATCAATAAATAATGTATAATTATGTTTTAGATATATGTACTACTTTATATTTAATTTATGTTTTTTAATTCAGTTTTTAGTTTTTTTTGTTTCTTAAAAATGTTTTTTTTTTCGTGAAAAATAGTGGAGCGCATGCATAGATCTCGAAAAGTTACCAAAAAAAATCACCTCAATCAAACATGAGAGTGCAAAGTTATGGCCTCCCGAAGTTTGCAAACATAGTACACAACCCGCAACCCGGTCACTAGATCGACCGGGTTAATGGTCCAACCATTCGGGTCAAATGGTTTTTGACCAAGTTAACGGATTTTGACCTTTCTCTGGGTTTTACTCAAATCAGATCCAGAATCTTGGTTGGGTGACGGTTTAAATAGTTCAACCGACCAGGTCAACAACGGGTTGAAAACACAGGTTTAGATGTTTACACAAAGGAGATCCAGTATTTGAAAAACATGTTTTTTAAACATTTGACCCTATTTTCAACTTTATCAAATGTCATCCAAGTACTTTTGTAACTTAAATTGCACAAAAGTATTTCACATAACGACTGTGTTTAGTTGCAATGTAAACGCAAATATATACTCTGCATAAATACTCTCTTTCCGGTTCATGAATGCAAAGTGTAACCCTTTTTTTTCTGTTTGTTTGAAATAGGTGCAAAATGTGGGCCCCATCACTAAATACCTTAAATTTTTTATCAAACACACTATTTATAAGAAGAGCACAATTTTATATAAAAAAAATGGATAAACATTTTTGACATCTTAATCATTGCGTTTTTCATGACAACTAAACGCTTACAAACGTATATACCCCAGTGTATTTGTATCACAAACAAATGCAGCCAAAAGAAATAGAGACAGGAATATCAAATATCTTACATATCATGACGTGGGTTTTCTAAAATTAAACCAGACTTTGAACCAAATGTTGGGTTTGGTTTAATTGGGTGAAAGAATGAAAGGCCGATCTAACTTTGAGTCAAGCCAATGATGTTGAATAAAATAAGAAAATCATTAGATAAGGTTGTCTGTATATAGGGTTTCTTAACCATCTAATTTGATTATTATTTATCTAGTTTTAATATTATTCAACTTAAAATATTTAATTGAAAGTGATGGCGGTCCAGTCCAGGGTCAAACTTGGTCCCAACATGCAACTCTTCGGCTTGAATGCGGTTTCTATAACAAGTTGCAATAAACCCTAAAGGCTATCTTTCTCCATTTATTCATAGTGGGTATAAAATTCATCTGTACTAACAATTGAGAGACCCACTTGAGATGATGCGATGTTCCAGATGA